TGTTTTATTGCTGTATTCTTTTACTTAATTTGTAAATCATTTGATGTTTTATAGATATTTTGTAGACTAAGTAATTAATTATATACAAATATCGTTTTGGGAAAAGATTTATATGAGCATAAGATGTCCTCAGATTTAAAGGAAGGCCATTAAGGCTGTTATTTGTATTAGCTGTATTATAATTAACATCGCGTTACGCTAATAATGAAATAATAATTGAACAAGTGTGGCACCGATAAGCTCGGATTGACGCAAGTTCATGGTTTCTGATTAATCGAACGGCTGTAATTAAGTATTGTTTTTTTATTTTCTTATCGTTCAAAACTAACAAAGCAATGAAACTTCAGCCACTAATTACTTTAAACTTTTATTTAGGATAGAATTAATTTTGAGTACCGTTCTCAATATTTTTCCCATGTAACAAGATTTAAGCTTAATTTTCATAGGACATGATTTACAGATCTTATTTGCTCTAATAAGAAAATTTAGGTTAAGTTACCACTGAACTTTGAGATACTCATTAGGAAACTACTTGTAACGTTCACTAAGAGAGTATTCTAGTATTGATTAAGTATGACAAACTTGTAATTAAACATTTATCGCAATAATCCGTTGTCAATACTCAAACATGTTCAAGTGTGGGTTGGTCCATGGCAGTTTGTCTTATTTAGATAAAATCGTGGCGGGGCGTGGGAGGTCCCGAGGGTACGAGTTTCTAGTAATTCAGCTTTGAACACCTTTCACTTGAATATTTGTAATACCAATGTAATTGACGTACGGCCTAGTAGACCATAGACTATTGATAATTTAAAACTGATTTTTAATGTTTTAATTAAGGGTTATAACTTGTTACATTATTTTTAAGCCGTTTGAAATTATAGTGAATTCTAATGAATTTACATATATTAACAAGAATTTGACGGCCATTTAAATAAAAGTTTACAATTGATTCGTTTTATTTTAATTTAGTTAATGCTATTTAGTTACAAATATAATTAATTTTGAAATAGTTGAAACATCTGTCGGCAAACATAATAATTTGAGAAATTGTAGATGTTGCGTTACTACGTTATTATTTACCACTTCAATGCCAATTAAATTTGGCGACAGTTATTGTTCGTCTCTAACAGTAATGCCAAATTACATTATTATTTTCACGTACTAAATACAGATATATAGAATATGTATAGATGTTAACAAAAATGCTATTGTGTGCGAAACGTTTTAATCATAAATATTACGCAGCGTTTAAATTAACTTTATAAGTAAACAATGGCGTGTCAGTACGATTTAAGTACGAAATATAATAAATAAAATAAAATAATGGACATTGCATTCAATTTGTTTTTGAGTCATAACTGCAAGACGTGAATTATGAGTCGCCAGTATTGCAAAAAAATAACAATAAATCTTTCTTTAATTGTACTTGTCCAAGTACATATATGGGTGTTCGTGGCCCTTACTGGTAAGGCTAATCATGCGTGACGGCGGAAGGTTGAGGTGAACCGCACGCCATCTGTCGGGCAACCTTTGCGCACAAACATCGATCACTGCCTTCAACTTCGACGGCAAAATAACTACACGAGTGTAATTTGACACACTAATTTAATAGGTAAAAGTATCTCTTATTCAAGTATGCTTTCTAATAAAATACTTTTAAATATCGTAATTTGTAATTATAAAACTCTTTTTACTTCATAATTCGATTACACAAATTAAATTGTAAGCAAGAAAAATACGTAACAGATTATAAATGGAAGAATTTTTCCGATAGACCACGTTAAGTGCAAGAACAATGCGTTGCTAATTTTCTTTATCGCAAGAACTGCGTTGTATTTATTACAGAACATACATGAATTACATATATACGACATACTTATGCACTAACAATCACGTCCCTTGCAATGATATTATGATGCTTGAATAACTAGTTTTTATCTCGTTTTTTAAACACAGACTCAAAATATTTTTTGTCTAAAACTACTGAACCGTTGAACAGGTTTGTTGAATGGTTTCTTACCAGTAAGACTATAGTTGTAATATTTATGGTACTTTGTAAAGACGAATACGTAATCCATTAATAAACATGTGCACTAGTTGCTTCACAATTGTCTTGTTTAGCATAATTTATGCGAAGATAAACATCGTGCGGTTTTTTACAAGTCAAAGCTTATACATCTATATTAAAAAATGTTCATTTATGAGTCTTATTTTTACAGTAATCTAGTGGATTTTCAGTTCATACGCATGTACTATAAATAGATTTGTTACTTTAGACATTCAGCCGCCTTGAATATATTTACCATAAATTATTTAAATAACTTTGAAATCCCGCCTTAAAGACCATCTTCCAAAACAAAGTAAGCAACAAACAAAAATATTTACACGCTTAATCTCCTTGTTTTGTACACTGGTGTATTCAAATAAGCACTCAATGATTATTACGTAAGCGACCAATATGGCTTGTATAATGTGTAAAGAAACTTGCGTTGCCCTGTGTACTGTGCCCACGCGTCTTAGCTGACATCATGCGACCTACTGCTCCGTTTGACGCAGCCTTCGACACTTATACGATGTCTAAACTTGATAATGAAAAAATTCAAACCTTGATCGCATTTATATTGAGCTATTATGTCATATCGGACATTATGGATAAAAAGTACCGACGAGTGAGTCTAATGCAGTAGACAGAAATTCTACATAACTATGTTTTGTTTTATCGACTTATATCCTAATTTTTCGCTTGAGTATTATTTAGAAATTTGTGAAATTGTCTTTGCTTTGCCTTTGCAAACGCTTTTTATTCTATTGAATCTTTATACGAGTATCTAAGACATAAACGTAGTAAAAGTTTGAGAAAACATACGTTTTGTATACGAGGTTCAAAGTCCTGTATGAACATTTACGATGTGTCATTGTACAACAAAAGTCGCTATAGTTCGCAGCACGCGATGTTCTACACAAAACTTTATCTGGTATTCGATCCAATAAGTTTTCCCATTAAACTTTAATACCTTTTCCCATGTACGGTTGACTTGGAAAATGTTTTCATGGTATAAATCGATTTGCACGAAATTGACAGACGCAATAAAAATACATTGTTGGTTTTGTTTTTCTATAAAATACAAGCCATCCACGCTCTTAAAACCTAGTTAATATTTGGTTTTAACCCTTTTTCTACTGAATTGTTTTATCGTTTTATTTCTAGTAGTTTTCGTAATGCTTTTAACTTGTTAGTGTTATTAGACAAAATTGAATTGCAACGCTAAGTGAAAGTAAGCCTCTCTAAAAGCAAACTCGCTCATCAAGGTTCACTTTCTAAAGCTTTTAAAGCATTTAAGAGTTAATTCTATTAGTAATTATACACTTGTATCGTTAAAATGATTAAATTAATCAGTCTTTTTTTCATTTACTTTATAGAAATCAATTATTTTAAGTTGCGCTGTTAAAACATGTTGCTTCTCTAAAATCTTTGCAGCGACCCCTGAGTACCATGTGTGCATGTAAATACAAATAAACTATAAAATCGAAGTAAATTATCATAGGGTTCTTGCAAAGCGGAATGAACCTTGAAAAGGGGAATATCGCGTGGTATATTGAAATATCGGGGTTCCATTGGCAGTTGTCACATGCATAGCTTCAACTCTGTCAAGGACGTGAAAACAATTCCGATATATTGACAGCACGACACGACAGCAGCACGGCGATAAGGGCGCGTTCACAATGCTATTACTTGCACGTAAACAATGATTTACTTATCTTAAAAACATATTAGAAGGGTATAAAGTTGACACAACTCATAAATATACATAATAACTTCTTACTTTACAAAGAATTATTGAACAGATTTCGTAAAGGTGTAGGTTCCCAATTTCTTTTGTTTCATTTTAATAGAAGTAATTTTAACAGAAAATGTAATGCGAAATGAATACCTATTTTCTCTGCTTTGGACATGTTATTATCTCCATAATACTATTCATTCAATTCATTTAACCTGAAATGAATAAAGAAAACGATTGTTTACAGTATTCACCCATGCATTTACTCGTATTTCAGACTCTTTTCTCTTGAATGTAGAAAGTCTTTGTTCAAATATAGGTAGCAAAAGATAAAAGGTCTTTGTGTGCGAGCCTTTATCAATGGTGGATGATGTCTGAAACGATTCGACAGCGCAGCGGTGAATTTGCATTATATTATTGTTCGAGGTATATCTCGCTGAGCGCGCACCCCCTCTAGCTGCAGATATGTTTTATACGATCAATGAAAAAGCATTTCTGTATGGTGAATGCAATCAGTCTGCTGTTCTTTCAACGCTATGATTTAAAAGGACTGCATTTACTTTTGTTTATTAGAATTAGTTCATACTTTTCATAATGTAATTAGTGCAACGAATTTTCAAATTATGTATGAATCAAATTATCTACCGCATCGATTGAAATCTTAATACAATTTATAGGTTTTGTCGTTCATTTAACTAGTAGTAGTAAAGTAGTACAAGGCGCCCCCTAGCGGCCAGTTCCCGCACTTCATTAATTGACGCCGCGCGTTTTCTCTCGTGTTTCAATTAACTCGACACTCATTCAATTATATTATGTATAGTCTATTAATAACGGTAATATGGATTAATGACTTAAAGATTATTGTCTAATTACGTTACTGCAAAATTTATTTTTACGTCAAATCTACATTGTTACCTAAATGTGTCTATGCAATTATGCATATTATTCGCAAACAATGAGACATATTAAATATACAATCGTGGATATGTTTTAGTTAGAACGACCTTGTTTAACCTTGGCCTCTCAGCAATTAGCGAGGGTGTATTGACTTCGGCTCATCAAACGTAACCCGTAACAATGTTAATTACGAGTTCACAATGGCATCTATTAATATACATACAAGCAATCAGACATTTTGTCTACTAATATGCAATCATTAGAAAAAGAACGTAAAAGAACCGCAAATGAGTATTAACTAACGAAATATTGTTTGTTGTTCAGGCACTAAGAAGATGGAGTACAAGACCCGGCAGTGGCATGAGAAGTGCTTCTGCTGCGTAGTGTGCAAGAACCCCATCGGCACCAAGAGCTTCATCCCGCGCGAGCAAGAGATCTACTGCGCCGGCTGCTACGAGGACAAGTTCGCCACGCGCTGCGTCAAGTGCAACAAGGTACCACTGCCACTTTCATTCAACACAATTACTCACTTATAACATAAATTTGTTTAGTTTACCATTAATTGCTTCTAGATCTGCCACTGCTAACTTACTAAATCAGTACTTTAAAAAAAATCTGATTATATAAATCGAGGTACAAATAGAAACACGTTTGCTATTTTGTTACCGCGAGTTAATTAATCATTCATTAATTTAATGTATGTGTTTTATTTGTTAGATAATAACTCAAGGAGGAGTGACATACAAGAACGAGCCGTGGCACCGCGAGTGCTTCACGTGCACGCACTGCGACACGTCGCTGGCGGGGCAGCGCTTCACATCGCGCGACGACAAGCCATACTGCGCTGACTGCTTCGGCGAACTCTTCGCTAAGCGCTGCACATCCTGCACCAAGCCCATTACTGGTAGATAATATCTATGCACATTATTTTGAAAGAAAGAATAGATATCCTTAAATTTTCTTTACTAAAATCATATCATGATATTTCCAGGTATCGGTGGCACTCGCTTCATCTCGTTCGAAGACCGACACTGGCACAACGACTGCTTCATCTGCGCGCAGTGCAGCGCCTCGCTCGTCGGCAAGGGCTTCATCACCGACGGACAGGACATCATCTGCCCTGAGTGCGCCAAGCAGAAGCTCATGTAAATACCCCGCCTCGCCCCGCGCCCCGCACACCGCACACGGACCGTACGCAACACACACACAACATACACTATTACTGGATAATAATATAAATTTACACAGCGAACAACGAACATCAACACGAGACTCTAAATATAAAATGACAACGATTTTCTCGCGATACGATCCAATCATGTGTGCATAGTCATTAACGCTTAACATCTCAACATTAAATCATCTTCGTTGGCGGTTATAAGAGCTAACATTTCAATATATGGTTGCACTAATGCTATTGTAAGGAGCTATCAAATGTGATGCGATGCCTTGACCATAAGTCTTTATGTAAAAGCATGAATCTACCAAGGTATATTAAATCTTCATCTTGTCTATTTACAAGATAATAAAATATTTTTAGATGTTTTTGGTAGAATTTGGTAGCTTTAGATCCGCCTCGCTTCGACTCGCAGGCTTACAGCTCGGTGTGTTACCGCTAAATGTATGGAATACTTACGATATTCTGTGCTTGTGCAGCGACAAAACGATCCTACCGTTAGTCGCAAACGCACGAGAGTGGTGCGCGGACGGCAGCGCGGGCGCCGCGCGCGGCTCCCTGCCAGACCTTGTCGACAAAATCAATTTCCGAAAGGTCATCCCTAAATAACACCCGACCGATATTTTTATAAAGAAAACAAGAAAATCATAAAAAAATGTGGATGCACAAATAAAGTATTTAATTTCGCTTAATTTTACCGAATTTTTATTTAAGTTGTTTATATATATTGTTTGTTTTTAACTGTTGTTACTAATTACGATACATCCACGCAGGCCATATTTATGTAATTAGTTACGATCGCTAATCGCCGTATTATATCGCTTTGGCTGTTGTCTTAGACCTTTAGATAATTTTTGATATTGTCAATTCGTCTAGTGCATTTCACACGTTGCCTTAATAACATATCTAAGTCAATTTCGAGAATATATATATTTTATTTAATGATCATTGTCATTGAAAGATTTACACCCGCGTGCCCTGCATCGACCCGCGGTATATTTTCATGTTTATTGCCAGAGTACCCGCGACTCCGGCCCTTTCGTCGATATAATGCATAACATTGTATAAGTGTAAGAAATTTTAAACATAGTACGTGTTATATTTAAGTATTTATTTTTATGAGAAGGCACTTATTACGCGGAGGGGGAGGGGGCCGCCGGGGTTGCCAGTCGCGTTGTCGCGTAGTAGTAATGTTGCCATATGCCCGGCGGCCGGAGCTTCCTAACACTTAAGCGACATGCGTCGATTAGTTTCTACTAATAAAATATTAAAACTATTTTCGTTGTCGAATAGGACATTGTTACGATAATGTAATTGAGATGTTATCGATATTTTTACATTATAATAATATTTTCTAGTGTTAAAGTTAAGTAACATCGGAGTTTCGAGATGACCACGACATGTTTGGGGATCACTTTATAATGGTTATTGTTAAGGATTAAATTATTCAGATGTTGAAAGTATATTTATAATAAATGTGTACACATATAAACAAACCGCTTAGCTGTGTGATCTGATCTAATTAATCTTTATATAATCTGTACCCGTACGTTATTGTATAAACTATGAAACTTAAATAAAACTATTAAAAGTAACTTAATTGTGAGTTGTTATTATTTCACCTTTCCCTAAAACGTAGTTGTAGGTTTAGTAGTCATAAGACCAAATACTGAAACGTCTAATAAGCTCCATTACATTAAAAATGTTGACATTGTGAATGGCGCTTACGAAGAGAATTGTTTAAGAATCGTATTAATATTCGGCCCATAATCTAATGGTTATAGGAAATAAAAAATATATCAAAACCTCATGTATTTATTACATAATATATTCAAAGAGATATACAACTTGTAGCTAAGTCACAATAGCTTGAGATATAAATTTACAACGTTCTATTACAAAGCTACGCAATAAAGTTGATTATGTTTAAAGGCTGCAAAGGCTGCTGGTATACATTTTTTATTATTTGATATAATTTACAATTTAGCACAATTATAATTAATTTTTATAAATACATTTACACAGTAAAACTTAAAAGATCTCTTAACATTAAAAAAAATCCTCTTAACTCCACTTTTCAATATGGCATAGTATGGATTTAATTCAAACATTGGGAATTAGTAAATGCATTTTCATTTACACTTTTTCCAACGATTTTTTTTTTTAATTTTTATTAATTTTACTTTTAAATTCATTCGTCCTGTATTTACATGTAAAATTTAGTTTTAATTATAATGCTGTAAAGAAAATTAGATAATCTGTGGCACTATGCTACACATTCAAAAATATTTTATTGATTACAGAGATCTTTCCTTACATGTCACAAAACGGAGTTTATACCTTAGTCATCCTAATAAATAAACTTGCTAAAAACAAGTATTTTTGTAGATCTTTTTGACCATTTACAAATAATTCTTTTAACTATAAGAATATCTTACAAAGCAAAGAGTAATTTTTTAATTTTAATATTATTTTTCTTTGGTTAACTTTAAAAATACATTACGTTTGAATACATTGTTTGATTTCATTTAGTTATAACTATTTACATACAAATTCAGATAAAATTACACAAAAAGAAAAACTGACTTTGCATTTTAAATCTTTATATAATTTTTGAATGCCACAGATATAAGGGCATGGTAACACTGTCGATTTTTTTTTGTTATATACTCAAAGTTTTCTGGAGAATTTAATACATTCAAACACTTATAATAATTAAAAATTACTGAGAACACATTTATAATGTTTAAACATGTTGTTAGGGATGAACGCCTCATCTTAAGTACATATTTATAATTTTCTCCTCAATTAAAGAAAAAAATACAATAAAGCATATTAGAACTGAATAATTATAGCTTTGTTATGTTAGATCCTTCATATTAATGATAATGTTTGAAAATCATATGCACAAGTAAACATACATAGACTATAATATAAAACATACATATCTAAACTAAATCATAAAATAATTATTGTGTGTATATCTATTTATGTCAGGGCTGCAAATGAGCAAGCGGCTAAATTCGCCGAAATGACGCAACATTTGGCCATAGATATCTGTAATTTAATTTGAATTTGATCTATGGAGGGAACGCACAGATAGAACATTTCTGTCAAACCCATATATACACATCGATCATATCGAAATTCAAGATAGAAAATAAAAAATTACACCATAAATCAAACATGTCCAAATAAGGAAGTATCATCCTCATATCAGTCGGTGCCGAAGTACTTCTGTCCGAAGTGGTTGGGTGCGACAGGGTGCAGCTCCGAGGTGAGTATCTTGAGACGGGGCACGTACTCCGCCACGGCCTGCGCGGCCGCCGGCGTGCAGAACAGGTTCGATAGAATTATACGTTCTTCCTTCACACCATGTTGAGTTAACACATTCACTGCCTGAAAGTTAAAATTTCAAAAATCATACTGATACAGCAGTTGTAAAAATCTAGATGTCAGTTAACGGAATTTCAAGTGAGCATTGTGAAAAATCATTTATGAAAAATCCATCCATCAATTTATCCATTATCTAAACTTTTGCATTAATCATATTATTAGTAAGTAAATGAATAAACTTTGCATAACCTAAAAAACTTCATGGATTATCATAAAATACAAAGCAAAGCTAAAATCAAACTAAGCTAGATTCACAAATTTACAGACCTGTTTGACAGTGTTGCCAGTAGACATGATGGGGTACATGAGCAGGACCTGTCGACGCGCGATGTCCTCTGGAAACTTAGCATATACAACGTGCGCTTCGTGCGTGTCCGTGTCGCTCTCTACCAGGATCTTACCGATGCGGATTGACCGACAACAGTCTCTTAGGCCCTGGAAAACACAATTTAAACTTTAATTTGCATAAAACTATAAATAACTAGCGTTCGCCCGCGATTCCGTTCGCGTGGAAGTAAAAAAAAACAAAAGTAAGTAGCCTATGTGTTCTTCCAGACTATCCAGTATGTCTATGCCAAATTTCGTCAAGATCCGTTCAGCCATTTAGGCTACAAACTCTAACAAACATCCATCTAAATTTTCACATTTATAATATAATATTAGTAAGATAATGCTATAATAACCTATAAATAAGTAATTTTAAACAAATGTTCATAAGATAAGGGTTTAAACCACCCAGACATGGTTAGTAACCAGTATCTTACAAACATCATGTCCTATCAAATTGTATGATAAACACTAAGTTAGATTAGAAATTTATGTTTGATACTTCAAACATGTTGAACCATTTACCAGATGACATTTACATTATTACTTACAAACAAGAATGCCATAGTCCAATTATTTAGTTTTTTATGCTGGTCACTGTTTTATAAGCTATGCAGAGTTACTATGTATATATGATGGAACTCACTTGTTCCATAGCCTCTCCCGATCTCACTATAGAGACTCCACAATTCCCCGCTCCATACTTAAGTCCCTTGTAAAGTGCTCCTGTAGGTGTGACCACTTCACAGTCAGTGAAGGGCAAGTTGTTTAGACTTTCCTCAATAACAAGACGAATCAGACGGTCAGCATAAAACTTGAAATCACTTCGTGTTGTGTTTCTGTAAAATTATTACAAAAATGTAATAATCTGTTCGTGGCGTTCTTCTGGGTGTTAAGCCTATATTTTAATGTAACTATTGTAAACTATAAATGATCTAATGATTTTTTCATATAAAATTGTTTTTTTGTAATAAAATATATATTTATAGTAGTAATAATCGCAGAATACAAAATTGCAATAATTGTTATTGACCTAATCTACGTAAAATGTATCATACATACATAATATATTGATCGATATGGATAAATCGTACGATTTATTACGTCCATAAGATAAGGAACATAATATAATAGTAATAAATAATAATAAACAAAGTAATCTCAAAGATTATAACCTCACTTACTTATCCCTCAAGATAGTCTGTAGTTCTTTGATGTTGTCGTTGGAAGGAAGGAGACTGAGGCTATCTCCGAACTGTTCTTTTACATCTTCAGCACTCCATGGCCTGATATCAGTATCGATCACCTCCATTTTCCAAAATTATTTAATGAAAACGTGAATAAGAAAAATCGAAGCAGAACGTCATATAATGTCAATGTCAAAGTGTCAAATCAAAACACAACCAGCTGTTTTAAATTTCGTTCGGAAATCTAAATCAATTTTATGTGCCAAATAAAATATCTAGAAATAAAAAAGTGACTTTGACTTGATCATCGTTATATACTTCTATTTCAAAATTACTAATAAACTCAAATATCAATAACCAACGTCCCTCTCATCCTGTAGTCTCTCGCAATCTGGACCATACTATCACCACTTAACATCAGGTAGAATCACAAGCCTTATTATGTTAATTCTTTAGTCGTTCTTTCTAGTCTGATGTCTTTATTTATACAGTGGTATACGTGATTCGTGACATTACGTAGTGCACCATGTATGTTACAATTTTCTATTAAATAATCATTCCGTGATTTTTTTTTAGCTAGGAATAAAATAAGTAAATAAAACAATAACATATAATGCGTAACGCTTTATTTGCCCAGAAAATACAAATCAATGAATGCAAGAATAATTCCACATCCCCCGTTACAGTCATCCGCGAGCCTCCGTCGCTCCAGCGTATCCGTGTAACCTCAAAACATCCATCACAAAAATATATTATTCAAAATATACCTTTCCATTTGGAACTGTGACCGCTAATTCTTTCTAGGCTGATTAACAACAGTTTCTTTTAAATGCGAGAGCTCGATCATGTAAAAAATAAATAAATGCTACTATGACTGCGATGTTTTGTTCGGTTTTACATATGAATAATTCACATTAACAATGCCCGTAGTTTAATTGCATATTAAAATTAAACAAAATCGTTTACAAAGGAACTTAACGACTCTACGAGGAGCATTCGAGTTGCTATAAAAATACGCAACTGCCTCTAAGTCTAGTAAACAACTCGTGTAACACTATGTAAATAACAGCGGCAAAGCGATAAGCGAAATAATAGAAATGGATCAATAAATTCCAGTCGGAAAATAAACACAGCCCGTTTTCAAAACTCGGCGTAAAATTTATCAAAAACAAAACATCAAAATCAAATAAAGTTGTATCATCATTATTTACATATACGTGTCGTGTAAAATATTAACTTTAATAAATAGAGCGTAAAATACTACGATAATTCGTATAAAATTGTCGAAACGTGTCCGTCTACAACAGAAGCACTCTTAGCCATTCCACATAACAAATAAGATGACCATAAGAACTGATGAGTTCCCAACCCGTAGTGATACCTGTCTATTAAATGTACATGAAATTATAATGATTTTAAATTAATTACCAAGCCTGAAATCAAAAGTAGCTTACGCTCGTACTATCTAAGAACTTCCAACTTGTCTATGGTCAAAATTCTCTATGATCTAGATAAAATTGACCTGCCCTAAATCTACCCTAAAATCTGCCTAAGTCACTGACACGTGAATCAAAAACTGTTGTAACGGAATATTCTATACAATCTATAAACTGTCATTCGACTCAACCACCAAATTATTAATTTACATAATTAGAACTTTACTTATATACGTTAATATTTTAATCAAAGGATTTGTGTACTTTTATTTATGGCGTTTACAAACTTAACAATATTTTGAACCCTTATATAATTTGCATTTTAATATGGAACACGAAAATAAATTCACTAGAATACATACATTTACAAAAGGTTTAGATTTCTTTATCATTTATTAGTGTGTTTAGTACACAAACTAGTATTTTAAAGACAAAACAAAATATTTGCATTACAAAAATGAGCAGTATAGTCTATAAGGTCCTAATTGACCGGTTGGCTTTTTTAACAATAATAATTTTATGTATAGTACTTCGCTCACATATCTTTATACGTTTTAGTTATATTTGCATTTAGATTTGTACTAAGAAGATCGACTTTATTGTAGTCAATTCAGATAGAAACTTGGCCATTACGACCTATAGTTATACACACTTATCTGGCCTGCGGACAATGGTGTTATCGTGGTTAGGACTATTACTTTAGTATCAATAATGATCACCGGGCCAGATAAGTTTGTTAAACAGTTATCCCATTTTGTACGTTATCTATAAACAGCTTATTTCGTTATAAAGGACAACCTGTGCGCTTGTCTTACAAGCGCTATAAAGCATAATAAATATTCAAGGAAAGGCCCGACCCACCACGACTGGTGAGTACATTATTGCTTACATACTTGTTTATATATTTGCTCACATCGTCAGTGGCCTCTCCTGCAACAAGGCGGTGTTGCCGCGACAAGCGAATGTCAACTTTGCGTTCTGTACAGGTCGATATAAACTATTACTTTACAAATAAATTATTTTAAAAAATCACTCTTCCTTTTATTTAAGTAATAAATACATTAAACGATACCTAAGATGATTTTACTGGCACGTAGGTTACTCTGTTCTGAATAGTGATAAAATGATTAGATTTTGTTATTTTTTTTTTCCTAAAAAAGCAATATTCGACTGAAGATTGAAATGTAGAATTAACCTACACTAATTTGTACCTTAATTTTATCACGCTAAAGCAAGGTTAAAGTTAATTATTTTTAAATTTAAAAATTCTCACGAGTAACCTACGCGGCAGTTGTAGCGCCCTGAGGCGACATATTCAATGCGACAATTCGCGGAACTAAAGCCCGGGCCACACCGAGCGGAAGTCTTGGTGCATGGAATGTAACGCGCGAAGTGTGCCCCCGCCCTCGCTGCATATAGCTACGCACCTGGATATACCGGGTACATTTTTATTCTTACTTTAAAATCACTTTTTTGTTACATTAAAATTATTTTTCCAATATAGCTTCGTGTGAAATAATCCTAAATACATTAACAATAGACGAGGTTTTTAATTAATGTTAAATTTTGCATCTTTTTTAAGCTTTAAAAAGTTATTTTTCATCTTAGTTTGACGTAGGTATACATGTAAATTATTGAAAAACAATTTTTCTACCATTACTAAGATTTTTAGAAAACAATACACATAAATACAAAACATTGCAAAAAAGAAATGTTACAAACCAACTATGCAAATTTACAATAAACTTTTGACCTTCATTTTTAATTATTTGCTTCTTTATACAATACATTAGGCGACGTCACTTCACTAAATGTGAAATCGACTACAGCGATTTTAAAGTAAAGATTCAATTTTTCAACATTGGAAAAAACTTCGCACCATTAAGCGTATAAGATCGCATGGCCCAAGCTTAACCCCATCGAGCCGCATCACTTAAACTATCGAATATCACAAGACTAGTGGACGACGCCGTTTTGTCTCTGTCTGGGATAGCCGGTGTACTCGATCTTGGTGGCCTCCTTCATAGGTTCCTCTGGGATAGGTTCCACTTTAGCCTTCTTGCCCCGTTTCGGTGCGAGATAGGCTTTATAGAAGAAGTGTGCGAAAAGGACAAAGTATGAGAAGTACATGGCCATAGATAGTTTTATGTTTATCTGACTGATGTGGCAGGAGTGCGGGGGCGCGGTGGCGAGGTAGTTGTGCGCCCAGATGTTGATGGCGCAGCCGACGATCATCTGCGACAGCTGGAGGAACGTGATGGTCATAGCCAACATCCGCGGAGGGTACTTGCCCATACTGACCAGCGCGTAGTATGAGTACATTACACTGGAAATGAAAAAAAAAACAATGTTTATCCAATAACATATCGTATAATCATAACATTTTTTGGTAAAAGTCGTTCAGATAAACCTCGCATGGCTTAAAGTATATTTATTTTCTAGGTAATTTTAAAGGCTTATCGATAGTTAGTAATACTAAATTTAAGATAACATTTTTACGACTTTAAAAAAATTTGGATTACTAAAGTGATCTATTGGGCAGTGTAACTCTGCGCTTGTACAAATGATTCACAAGTTGTAACCACAAGATAACTTTATTTCCAGTTATAATGCTATTATATCCTTTTACGAGGAATTTAGAATTCAACTCATAATAAAGATATTAACTACAGTAATAGGGTAATTGTACCTTCAGGAATATTACCATAATTAATAGCATTTATAAGAGAAAAACCAGCAATACAAAGACTGTAATTATACATACACGTTTATAGCTCAATTTTAAATCTAAAGGACATTTTATAAAATGAATATGTAATTAAATATCAGTTTTCAATAAATTTATGCACCGTTACAACCAACACCAACAACTTTAAAACTCCAGTATGAAATACTGGAATTATTGAATATGACTTGAAACAATTTCAAGGCAAAACTTGCAAAAGTTATTCCTATCGTTGGAGATGCGCCTACAAATTGTTCTAAATATAATAGCAGACTCACTCTGTGGGTCGTACAATTACATGGATTATTGAGAGTTGCCGTATTGGCGTATTGGCGCAAATGTTGGATTTAAAACATTGTAATGGCGAGTAAGAAAATATTACATAATAAACTTGCTTACGCTTTAAATTAGTTCACTATGATTATTTTGTTTCGTAGATTTACGCGTTCACTTTTTTAAGTATTATGCAATGACTTAAGAAAAATCTTGCAATTTTAATAAAAAATAATAATAGACTATCTAAGGCTGTAATCACAATTATTACAGTCATGTTTGTATCACCGATTTAAAGAATAAAATGTTCCGAAAGAAATCCGCGGACAATTAAATGTAAATAAATAAATGTATCGGCCGTTGCGATACTTATGTAAATAAAATTTCTCATTTAAATTGATTTCTACCATATATTAATACAGGTTACTTTAAGATAGTATGAAAGTAGATAAGATACTCACCTATGCACACAGTAGTTCATAACAACGAACCAGCGCGCGGAGGAGGTATACTCAGTGAAGGAGAACCAGGTGTAGAGCAGGACGGTGATGTGGTGGTACCAGTGCAGGAAGATGAGAGGCTTCTTGCGCAGCACGATCAGCACCGTGTCACCCAGCTCCGGCACCTTCGACAGCACGAACATTGTCGTCCAGAAACCCGACACTTTGTCCTGCTCGATGAAGCTGGAAAAAATAAAACAGATTTTTTTCAAAATCATCTAGTTGTAATGGAGGGATTGCGTGAAAGGTGACATGACGATGATGATACGAGTTATTTGGACGACGAAAACCCGGTGCTCCGACCCTACGGGAGTAGGTTAAGGTAGAGGAAATAAGGTTTAAAGTTACAATTCCAATGACAGTTTTCAATTTGGGACGTACGCATATAGAAGAAATAGACCAAAACGTCATACTATGGAACACCTTTTTAACAAAGATAAATTTTAATACAAAAAGTTGTTAAGAGCTATTTACTTAATTTGTATAAAATATAGGCTATATATCCTGCACAGATTATCAATCGATTTACTAATAATATATTGATATAACCTTTTTACGCACACCCCATATTATCCAAGACCTACATACGTGTCGGACCTACAACATAATTGTCGGTTACGTGTCCTGCAATTAACAATAATTGTTATAATTTACAATTTGCATAATGCTATAGTAGCAAGGAAAAAGAAATGCTGCAAAGAAACTTGGTTAGCGAGTAGGCTTGATATATCTGGAAAATTTTATGTCGAAGTCAATCTTCTACTGAGTAGTTATTTAAAAAAAACTCGTTAAAGTTGTCAGCAATAAAATTATCACTTTTGAATACGTCGATAATGAGGAAATATTTATAATAATTAAGTAGTTACTATACAAGATATTACATAGTTTTGTGTATTTCCGCTTGGTACACGAGACGCACGAATGTAAGTATGAAAATTGTTAAAAACTTTGATTTATGGATGGATGTTCGTTAAAGGGTATTTGCAAAATTGCTCTACGACCTCTGGAAAAACGTACTAAGTTTTTCCCGCGAGAAAAATATCACGGGAAAACGCTAGTATTAAACCTACTCTAGATCGGTAATAGTCTTTTGTCTTTCTAAAACTCTTCCGTCTTTTTTCCTAATTTTTAAGTAAGCTAAAGTTAAAATAATAAATGTCCCTTTTGTTAGAAAAAACAAACTGCGCTGAATAAAATTTAAGCAGAAAGTTTAAATGTACGCTCATTATTCGAGACAAGAACTTTTTGAATGACAATGATAAAAACAAACTTTTCTTTTATGAAAATTAAAACAGTCCGAAGTTTACGTGAACATTTTTTTGTGTACAGATAAAAGATTCTTACGAATGACTTGATAATTTATTGCGAACTTTTTTATATAATGTCAAAAGAATGTGAGCCTATGTAATACGTAGATATAATTCTATTAATGAAACATATAAATATATAATATCGTTATCCGCGTGTATTATGATGGGTTTTATTACGTGATCAAAGCCATATTGATATAGTGGATGAGTAAGAAACCAAAATGTATTATGGTAATATTACCACAAATGATCGAATCGTAACTTCCACGTCATAAGAACCAGTATTTTCACATCAACACGGAACTAATAGTTTAGAATACGCACTTCTTTAAAATAAATATGTGAATACAATTTTTATAGTGGAAAAATTAACAGCCTTACAAATAAACACACTACAAAGTTAAACTAGGTATTAGTAAAATTTGTGCTAATATTAGTACCTATACTCAGTTTATTCCTAAGTTCAACTCTATACCTGGTTTATTTATAAGGCTGTTAATGTTTCCACTATAATATACACAAAAAAGATTTGTTTTTTGGAAAAACGCAAAAAGTTTAAACTTATTACGGAATGCATGTTTAATATATTTAAACATAGACTAATTATGAAGAACATTGTCTTATCACAAACTATTGTTTAATATGGATCAACTTTAAGAACATTTATCATCGAACCATTCTTATCTGTGTAATGTTGAAAGTCTACTTCGCTGCAAATTTAATTGCGAAACTGCCTTTTTATTACAATAGGTATATCAGCAGTAATTTTGCTACTTCAATATGATTTATTTAAAAACATTGTTCAAAACACTCTACATATAAAACCGTACTGTGGGCCGTGTGACCGGACCTTCAAATCTAAGTTAGGATTTGCCAGCCATCTTCGACCATCTCTCAGAGGTAACACGGTTCGTCATTCACGGATTACCTCATAAAGGACATCACATATAAAACCATCATGAATTTAAAACAAATGTTACATAGATATTATTTAATGACATTTGAGTGTCTCAATTTAAACCTATTTAGTGTAAGGCGGCAAGGACATTAAGTCAAAAGGAACATTACATTATTATTTGTATTACATGCTGGAACAAATTGTTTGTGTTTATATATCATCATCTGATAAGATCGTTAATTTTATAGTTTTTATACGTATTATAGCTTGAATACACAAGCTATAAATAAAGAGATAATAAAAGACATTACTGCAATTTTACAAATTACAAACGATACATTATAAGAAGTAATATACAAAAGACACAATAGTATGCGTGATTATGTATTTAGATACAGACACGCGAAAACAACATAAATCTTCATAATGCTAGTTGGTTTCATACCATACTTTTACAACTATGTACAGAATTGACATAAAGTCCTTTTACCCTAGCATTTCTAGTCGCGTTGTTGGCCGCGTGCGGCTGCTGTCTATGATTACCAAAAGTACCAGTGGTCATGGTGTGTACTGAAAAAACATCAGAATTTGGACATTGTTGTCCATAAATTTCGATAAAAAAAAATCTCCTACTTCAGAAAAAAAATCCTTAAAAATCCCGATTTTCCGGTTTATTCTACGTACAGTTAGCTATACGAAAAAGTCATAACATGTCATAAGTCAATTTAGTTTATACGTATATCAATAGTATTTCAAAAACAGGTTTAAAAACGTAATAGGCATAACGAGATCTGAAGTAACCAGTCTATTATAATTTAAACAAGTTATATTTGCATTAAAGTTGTAGAGTCATCTCTGACAAGTAAAGAGTAGTTTTTAAGACTAGGTTTGTGACAAATCATTGGCTTGTTTATAAGATACATATCGCCTTTGTTGTATCCTCAGTATACAATCATACAAACTTGTCAGTTACATTTATTTGCATGAGATATGACGTTTATGTTCGAAGGCTAAAATTACGTGAACACTTCCCCAACGACCGAGTGACCGAGCAAAGTTAGAAAGCGTATTGCGTAACATGGAAAATCTGCGCGAGCGCGGAATGCCAAAGCGAAAGTAAGTTTAATTGAGGCGACGAAAGTGTTACTAATATGTCGCGGTTTTGAAGTATTAGGGACATTCATTCTGGATGTCGACATTTTGTCTAAAAGTAGGATTCCACTGCGGTAGGGCTCTAAAAAAATCCTTTAAACCCTTTTATTCGCGAATTTGATTATTAGATGAATCTAATGATGGCAATAGTCAGATAATTTGATGTAATAAAAAAATAGTAACAAGACAGAACTATGGATTCTGCCTAAACAAACCTAATATTACCTGTTCTAATGAAATAAGACCGAGCTTTACTTTTCCCGTTATAAATGTGTCAGGAAGTTGGTCTATAGATATTAACAACAACAAAGCGTCTACCTGAACATTTAAATGTATCAATTTAAAAAAACAACTTATAGTTGGTCAGTTTCCTCCATCATCTACATAGCTCGTTTGTGGAGTTGAGGAAGTTGTGGGTTTGTATGTTACTGGTACACGTTTGTGTTATGTAAGGCTTTAGCAGTCAAACCAAAAGCTATTAAAACTATACGTTTCCGGATAGATGTTGTATTCGATTTCTTGTGGGAACAATCAGCTGTACTGTATATTATTGAGATTGCATTTTAGAATAACTATGGCGTCTAATAACTCTTAACAAATGCCCATATGTAAACAAAGCGTAGAAGGAATAGAGACTTAAAATACGCTATGTATTACAACTTGATTAGTAATGACTAGGTATGACTAGCAAGTTACGTAAGTAAGTAAGCATGCGTTGTAAAAATAAGAGAAAACTGGAAGATGTATGCCCTAGTTGCTACTTGAGGCGCAACTATTTCTTTTCCGAAACTTTCATCTACTTTAAAATTTTCAAATAAAAAAAAACAATTATCACATTCGATTTTTTTTTTCACTGTCGAAACTGTAATCACATATGTGATAGAAAAAAGGGAAAGATCTCTCTCCACCTTTTTTTCTATAGAATAGATAGAATTACCCTTGGTAAGTAATGCAACAAAAAACACACAGAAGTAACTGACAACATAATTTTCGTATTCGCTATATTTCGTTTAAATACGAGAACATTATCTCAATTGCATATCCATTTTATTAAGTAGTTCCCAAACTAAACTGAATCATTGGAAATAACACGATAAGTTGTTATCTAACGTCATCGCCGAAATACAAATTAGCACATATTTACTAAATGTTAAGGAAGATAAGCAATAAATTGTCAAAAATTAAGCACCATCAATACGGCAATAAAAACATTTAAAAGAACAACCCAATTTATGCTAGAATTGCAAGCTGTTAAAATTGCATAAAAGTTGTGAATGGTTTAAAATTTCAGTGAATTTTAATCTAGGTCGTAAAAAACCAACATCGAGCCTAAAGCTAAACTTAATTAATTTAGTTAACAGTTAGAGCTTTTCAATGCAAATAAAAAACTTAAGTATGAAGATAAAAAAGTAGTACTGATACAAAATATTTTATGTCCAATAATACTTATCAGTGAAAAACACTAAAACGTGATAACTGTATACTGACTAGACATGCGATGTTCCGCTATGATATTCTAAATACTAACAAAAATAAAACGGAAAGTTTCAACATGGCTAAATATCTCACCGCGGGTTTCTACTAGGCACTAAAACATTGACATCCCTCTATTGCATTGAACAAAATAAAAAAAAACATAAAGGCGCTAAGACAGTAAAAACCTACAGTTACAAAAGTCAACTTCTTAACAAATATCACTTAACTGCGAGTGATATAAAGGCTTACAAGGGCCTGTCCCACCACAGGCTAATAGAGGCTCAGATAGTTTAAAAATGACGTCACTGTCAGATAAGGTAACAAAATCCCATATTCCCATCATATAT